GCAGAAACATCCTCAACAGATCCATAAAATTACAGAATCATCCCAAAAAATTTCAAAATTTCCTCTTGATTATGGTATGCATACTCTCGTAGAATTTGAGACTAATATTTTTATTCATTGAAAAATTAGAGAATTTGCAAAGGATCCAAAACATATTTTCTTCTATTTAAAATTTCTTAAATTTTCAATTGCATCCTTGAACTCATTCTTATGTTATTCTCATCTTTCAAAGTCAATCATGAGTTCATATGATCATTATGATGCCTATTCATATATTTATCCAACATCAAGAATACCTCAAGTTCACAGTTTTCCACAACGTCATCACTATACCTATTCCACTCCTAGAGTTTTTCAGAGTCATCATAAAGTCCATAATAAGTTTGAGTTTTATTATGAAGATTATCTAGAATACTACTCTGGGACACTTAGGTCACATAACAGTTACCAGCGTCATGCTTCTCAAAGTCGTCATCAAGGTCAATCTGGATCAATCTTTAATGTCATTAGTGACCATTCAAAAACCCAAACTGTCCTAGAAAAAAAGGTTGCGATCTTTGAAATTGAAGTTGCCAATACTAAACATTCATTCGGCCAATTACGTGAAGAATGTAGAGGGGTGAAAAATCAATTATCTGAATTAACAAGTCAACTTTTTCACTTGAATAAAGTTCTTGCAAGTCAGCAAATGGAAGAAAATAAGGACAAGTCTCCAGTTTCACCTAATGTCGGACACCCGCATAATGATAGCCATATTTTTGTTTCATTGGACCCTCATGCTTTACATCCTTCAAAACATACTTTCAATCGTTTGAACAATGATACTAGTGATGAGATTATTTTTGATCCTATCAAGTTTCCCACCTCATCGGTGTCAAAAGTTGAATCATCACTAAACATTGAACTTGAGGAAAAATCCATTCAGTTGGTTCCTATGCAAGATGTTGAGCATATTGAGCTATCTATTTTACAATTTGTTGGCAATTATTCTATGTCTACTATTCCGAATCATAATAGCATTGTTGTGGATTCTTCTTCATTTGAGATTGTTAATTTTGTTTCGGATTTTTCTCCACCTGAGATTGTTGACATTGTTCTAGATTCTACCCCACTTGAGAGTGTTAACTTTGTTTCTTTACCTACTGTCAAGTGTTTTCTTGAGTCTATACTTTCTTATGTTCAGCACTAGGGCGTTATTGTTACTCTTTTGTCATCGATATTTTGTCCCATTGAATACTTTGTGCTGAAACCTAATGAGAATTGTTTTGCTATTCTCAAGTTTGGAACTAATACTTATTTGCTTAATTTTTTATTGAATGTTAGTATTAGTCTAGATTTTTATTTGGAGGACATGCTGCTTAATCGAGGTACTCCAGCACCTCTTATTTTATTCGCAGGTGTTCATACGGATGGAGATTTTTTCATTTATCCTGATCGATGGAAAGAAGCTCATGGTTCTTTTATTCTAGATGAGACATTATGTCATTTTCATCCAGCTCTCTTAGGGTACTTCTACTTTGAAGACTCTCCGGAGGAGAGTTTTTTTCAACCAGAGGAGAATGATGGGGATCATGTAGAAATTGGATAGATATTTTAAATTAATCATGAGAGTAATTTAATATTTATCTTTTAAGTTTTTTTTTTTAACTTTTAAGGGTTTAGTTGTCATTTTGATTATTTATTTATTTATTTTAAGGTTTGTGATCTCCTTATATATATAAGATTTGTGAACTCCTTATATATATAGGGGATATATATTTGTTGTGAGATTAGACTTTGATTATTGTTTATTGATTATTGATATTGAATCTTGATATCGCTTCTTCCTAAATTCTCTCTCTATTCTCATCTCCTTCTTCTTATTTTCTCATCTCTTTCTTCTTCCCTTCTCATCCCTAATTCTTCTCTAATACGATCTACATCAGTTCCTCTTTCTCTTTCCCAATTGGTTCAGAATTCAATTTTTTATGAATTTGAATGATATATAAATTGTAGAGTTGTCTTCCCTTTTGGGATATTTTGATAATCTTGATGTGAATCAATCTTCTTTGGATAATCCATGATTTCTCTTTTAAATATTTCTTTGAATTATTGATAGATTATCAATGGGCCTTAGGTTCAATGGTTCTCCTTGTCTTATAAAGACTTTGTCTTCTTGAGGCCAAGGGATCAAGTCATTCTCCCCCCTCCCCCTCAAAAAAAAAAAAAAATTTAAAATATTGATCGATCCACCTATTCTTCTAAAATTTGAGTCTCCTTCTATGATTTGGACATCTAAGGCACCTTTAAAGATTCAAGTATTTGCATGGCTTCTTCCACACAAGAAACTTAACACTAAAGAGATGCTCCAATAAAGAAGGCCATCATATTCTCTTCATATGCAATGGTCCATTTTTTTCAAGAACAAGGCGGAGTGTGTGAACCACTTGTTCTTATATTGTTCTTTTGTTAATAAACTAATGGAATAGACTTTTGGAGATTGTTGGAATCCCTTGGGTATGCCCAAAAAGCTTTGATTTGGTGCTTTGTAGTGGGTATGAAGGTTTTGATTCTAGCAATAAAGCCAAGATTGATTGGGTGGCAATGTGCGGTATTGACTTTGTTTTGTACAGTTTGGTTGGAAAGAAATTGGAGGATTTTTGAGGATAAGGAGTTTGCTTGGGAAGATTTATGGGATAAAATATCATTCTTAGCTTCTCTTTAGAGCTTCAACGTCAAAGGATTTTGAAGGGATGCTATTGTTTTTGGTTAAAGATCATTGGGCTCAATTGCTTGGAGAATGTTGATGGAGGGCGACATTTTATCATTGCACTTTTTACTTCCCAAGACTTCTATTGAGTTTTCTTTTCAATTTTTTTAATATTTTATCTCTTATCAATTTTCCTCTTTGCTTGCAAATTATCAAGACAAAATATTTGCTCTTTGTTTCCCTATATTTATGCCGATATCTATTTTCTTCTCCTAGGCTACCTGCACAAGAAAAAGGCAGCGAGCGGTTCTTTAATTTGTGGAGTTGCCAGATACCGGACTGCATTTGTTCTTATTAGCAGTGTATATTAGGGCATTAATGAGAAGGGCTGTAAACTCTGATCCGTTGATACGAACCCGACATAAATTATTATAAAATTGAAATGATTATTAAATACACATCATAAATAGTTTAGACTAATGTTTAATACTTAGAACACACTAAATAATTTTTTTTTTTTTGTGGGTCTTGACACGAATAACAATGACACGGCACGAATAACATAACATGCGGGTCACGCGAACACAACACGATTGACACTGCTCCCAGTGAAGCATATAGTAAGGTTTTTTGGGGGGCTATAGGTTTGCATGTAGTAGTTGTGATCTAAGGTTTGCATATCTCCTCGGTGGTGTGTGATCTGTAAGGATTGTGGTGAAAGCATTGATCACTTATTCTTAAGTTCCCTGTTGCGATATTTTCTGCTATAAATTGCTAAGGGAGGTGGATTTTGGTTTGAGTCATTCCACTTGATTGTGCTATTATGGCTATTTTTTGGGTGGTTGGGATGGAGAATAATAACAGAATTTTTGAAGGCAAAGATGAGGAGGTGGAGTTTTTATGTGAAAAGGTTTAATATTTGACTTTTCTTTGGGAAGCAGTAACAAAGCTCGTGAATTTTCTCTTTTGTTATTACAACATAATTGGAATGCCAGTTGTTTAATCATTGGAGTTTTTATTCTGTTTTCATTTTTCTTAATGTTCGTAGGTTGGATATGTTATCCACCATTTTGTACTTCTTCTGGTTTTTTAGTGAAATGAAAGTTTTGTTTCATATGGGAAAATGTAGTGCTGTTTGTTGCTTAGGTTTCATTCCCTCAGAATTTAACGTTTAGTTTACTTGGCATTTTAGATTAAAAATATTATTATTCTTGCTCTGGCATGAGTGATGCCTCGGCCTACTTTCTTATCTACCTTATCTTTCTTTGATAGTCTCTTATCTGTTATTTCTTATAATCTTCAATCCATTGATTGTCTTTTCCCATTTCAGACGGGGGAATGAGCTTACTCCAATAATACCCAATAGGCATTGGGAAAATAATTTCCTGTTATAAAAATACAACATAGTATTTAAGGCATTGGTGCAAATTTGTCAAGGGATTTGGAGGGCACAAAGAACTTAAAAGTTGAAATTCTTCTTGTTGTCCTAATTAAAAAGGAAAAGAATGAAAGAGCATGTAAATGCGCATTCCTGTGATTCATATGAATGATCGAATTTGTTAAATGGTTTGGGTATATTTCTTGGCATTGATGTGTAAACTATTGTGCATCAAAATATCAATCTGTAAAGTTTGTGTGGTTTGCATGAAAATAGTTGGGTGTACTTTGCATTTATTGCATTTTTCACTTGGTTACTTTAAATTTCATTGTACTCTGCATATGTAGCGCTCATTAAATGATTTTAGTGTTTTGTGTTAAGTGTGAATCATATGGTTGCAAGGAAAATGATAGTGTACTTGACCTTGATTGCTTTGGTTACTTTTATTTAAAGTTCTAACTAGATTTGACATACATCCTCTCTCCCAAAATTGGAGACCACTTTGAACTCCAACTTTTGGAATAGAGTAGTTTAGGTTTTAAATGAGATGTTTGTGGTGGTGTGTTTTGTTGGGGGGAGAAGGGAGTTTTTTTTTTTTTGGGGGGGGGGGGGGGGGTTGGGATGAGTTTTACACTATTGAAAATTTCACCTTTTAAATGAACTTCACAATAAAGCTAATATTCAAAGTTGCTGTCCCTAAAAGGTAGATTTGGAACACTTGACAAGTTTACCTTGACTTTTCTTGGTGGACTTACATTTTTAGACATGCCAAAAGAAAAGGATTTTATACTCGATGGAGCGAGTATATAGTTATTACTTATTACTATCCCCGTGACTCTTGCACTGCCTATAAATTGTTTTATATGATGTTTTACTATTATTTGAATTTATATGTATATTTTTAAAATGTTTTTCTTGTTGTGTGTGGAGTAGCTTGGGCAGCTTAGAGTGACACCTCGGGTTCTAGTTGGTCACAGCTTTGGGGGGAAAGGTAACTTACTTTTCTCATGTAACTTACCTAACCTGCACAGTGGATGCATGATGATTATATCACTAATACTTTATATACTACACATTTCATTTGTTGTCTTCTTATCCATTTAGTGGCCTTGAGCATGGTGGAACAAGCTGCAAAGCCACTTGCGCGACCTGTTAGAGTAAGTCTTTGGATATCCTAGAATGCTTTGAAATTCAGTTTGCTTAATCATAAAGATGAGGATGTTGAGTGACATTGGTAATGTAAAGCATTTATAATCCAGGGTTTGAGTATTGCTACAAGGTAATCTGTGATGATATAAAGAGTGAAACCCTTTTGCGTAAATGGTTTTGGTTTATAGCATTGGCATCTCTAAGAGTTCAAGTGACAGCCTTCTTACGCTTACATTCTAGTCTGTCTCTCAGTCTTCTTTATTTACACTGTTTATTTTATTTCTCCCTCTTTTCAGGTTTGGGTTTTAGATGCTACTCCTGGAAAAGTTCGAGCTGGTGGAGACGGAGATGATCATCCCGCTGAACTGATATCTTTTCTAGCTAAATTACCAAAGGAGGTGAATGTTTATTCTTTGATTTTGATTTTACCAAAGGAGTGGCCATGTCTTTAGGGTTATTTTTTTTTTCATGTTGGATTATAAATACTTTAGAGGTGGCAACTGGTAATTTGTATTGTCTTGTGTTGCTCTAAACGATATTAACCTTCATGTGTCCAGTAACAATTTGTTTTGGTTAATTTTGGTTCCAATTACATCAATTTTGGGTCAGTAAGGATATGGGTGGGTTCTGGGATGAATTTTTGTACTTTGTTACATTGTTATTGTTACATTTGAAAGAATGCATGCTTAGTGCATAGGTTAGTACAGTAATGACTAGTGTTGTCTTCTAATTTTTGTCTTTTCCGGTTGTCATGGGTAGCCTAGTGTCGTCATGCCAGTTAATTTAATCTTTGATTGGTTTATAGTCTTTGTTTCAAGCATAGCTTTAGGTTAAAATACTAATTTTCATCTTGTTATTTCATGTTGAACTTTGAATCTACAATCTTAATTTTGGTTAAGTATGATTTTGTTTTGTTTCCATTGAAATGACCGAAACATTTCAGTTTCCCCAATTTTAATTTTCATCTCATTATTTCACGTTGAACTTTGAAGTATCAATCTTAGTTTTGGTCAAGGATTGAAATTTTTTTTGGTTTCCACCGAAATGTTTTGGTTACCAATCAAAAGAATAGTGATTGAATATCAAAATTCTTATTTTTTGAGATGCTTTAGTATGCTTCAGAATCTACAAATTTTTGAAGTTTTTATATGTTTCCATCTTGTTTTCTAAATGTTTTGGAGCTGCCCCAAACTATACACTGAAACGGAATTTTGATCCTTGGTTTTGCTCTAGTACTTCGACACGAACACGTACCAGTTCCTCTGCAAAATTGGGCCTTGAAAGACATGTTTTGTCATTTTTTTATTAGGGAATCCCATGCACACATGGTATGTGATAAACTAATTTATCTGGAATCCCATGCACACATTGTCTGATTTAAAAGTTGGGCTATCCAAAGGTAATATTTGTTGTTTTGAAACGCATTACAAAGGTAACATATGCATGCAGCGAGGATCGATATGCACTGTGTACTTTGACTCTGTTCTAGTCTCTTCTTATTATTGCCTTGTAATGATGCACATCTCACTATATAATAATCACTGAAGGATCAACCATCGTACTTTCTTGTATTGGTCAGTAGATCGAAGGTAAAAAATTACAAATGGTTGGTGAATTGTCATTAAGGTTGTAAATTTCAAAGCCATGCCTATATGATTCAAATGAGTTGGCTGACCTTAAATATGTCGTTATTACTGATGGAAAAATGGATGGAAAATTCAACACTAGTAAAGCATTTTTAGCTGAAATGAAATCTCACCGCAACAGCATCAAAGACTTGTCATAGATCATTAATTTGGAAATGTAGTATGTTGGAGAAGTCCACCTTTTTGATCTCTGTAATACGCTTTCGCTGGTGGCTAACAAATTAATATTTTTAAGGAGAAGTACACAACAAATTAATATTTTTAAGGAGAAGAACTTAAATCAGCTGGAAGAAACTGATTTAGTTTCAATGGTTCTACTTATGTGCGAGTAATTTCATAATCCTACTAATGGGAAGCACTAAGTTTGTTTTCAACATTTATTTCTGTGGTTAGACACTACAGAGATATTCATTTCATTTTGTAATCTTTCTTCAAGGAAGATCTCTTCAAAACGGGATGTTGTTAATGCTCTTGTTCAGGAAGGGTTTTCGGTGGATGTAGCGCAGGTATATCTCCAACACTTTGAATTACATGCTTCTACTTGAATAGTTTAGTTTGACATATTGTTATGTTATGCTTTATGTTTAGTTTGAGGGTATTTTAATACTTGGTGTTTATATATACATAAAAGCTAGAGATTAGTTGTGTAACCTAGGACACTATCCTTTACTTAATCTTTTCTCTCTTTCAAGTTTCCTTCTCATTATTTTCTCTAAACCCTAAAACTTCCAAAGCTAACTCGGTATTAGGGCATCTATCAAAATTTGAAGCCTTAAAGTCGTCAGAATCGTTGAAAATCATCTTACATTATCGGAGTGGCTGATGCCAGATTTTGTCTTGCTGATGTCAGCATCAAGGTTGTCAGAGATGTTCGAAAAACACATGGGTGAACTCGACTTCATCTCTTGTGAATTATAGTGATGACTGGGACAGATCTATGACATCCATGCTGTTTTGTTGCGATTGGCTTGGTTTTGTGATGATTTGTAGCCAAATTTGAGCTTTGTTACTATTTGCTCCAGCCTGTTGTGCAAAAATTTTTTGGCTACTGTTTGAGTATGGTTTGCTTCAGCCAGTTGTCCACTTCTTATGTTGTGATTTTCTATGAGTGCTTGTCGTTTCATGGTCATCCTATTTTGATGACATGCTAGACAGGAGAGTGACTTCTACCAATACTCAAGGAAGCAGGTCAAGTCATCTAAGGGCAGCCGTCAATAACCCCTCTCTTCAAATTAGTTCAAAGAAATTGGATCGAAGCAATTATTTTGCATGGTTATGGGCTTGTTTGTTATCAATTCAAGCTATTTCTTTGAATGACTATTTGACGAAGGTGATAAAGAAGCATAGAGAGTTTGGTTTTAACCTGATGCAGTAAACATCGGAGAATGCCTTGGTTATGTCTTGGTTGCTTAATTCAATGCAACTTTCTATCAGTCTTTCTTTTTTATTACTTGAGACGACTCATAAGATCTAGATTGTTTTGGCTCACACATATTGTCAAAAGAACAACGATGCAAAGACAAATAACCTTCAAAAGAGAGTTCCTGAGACTAATTAGAAGGATAAACCCCTTGCCATCTACTATGTAGAGTTGACTATGTTGTGGCCGGAGCTTGACTGCTATGAGAGTTTTCAGGCAGATTGTGATAATGATACAGCGAAATTTCAGCAGATAGTGAACTGTTTATGACTTTCTTGTTGTTCTTGTTGATAAGAATGACACCGTTGATAAAGATACTTTAAAGTGTGACTATTGTGGGAAGACCGGACACATTAAGGAGTTTTGTTGGAAGCTGATTGGACGTCCCACACGTGGGCTTGGTGGTATTATGCAATCACATTCTGTTATGTTATGGGTTATTTTTAGGCTAAGGGTAGTTTTGTAATTTGTGATTGTATATAAAAGCGGGGTGTAAATTGTAACCTAACACACTAATCTAATTTTCCAATCTCTTCTCTCTTCCTAATCTTTTCTTCTCTTTCTTAACCCTATTTACATTATAATTTAACTTGGTATCAGAGCTATGATCCAAATTCAAATCCTCAAAGTTGTCGGAAATAGTCGGAAATTGTTGGATATGCACGCCCTTGACGAAATTTTTGCTGACATCGCCTTCTGACATCTAATGTCAGTAATGAACACTACCCAAAATTCAAATTTTTTCGAGGGATGATCTATTTAATGGTGATTTTTCTGAAATTTTTTGGAATGTTCTGATGGTGGTTTCAATTTTTTGAAGATTTTTGGGCTTTTTTTTTTATCGCAGATTAGATCTACGATTTCTTGAACCTGTGGCTATTTTTTCTTGTTCTATTTTACTGGCTAGGACTTGAATGGAGTAGATCTACCATACCCAGGCTGTTTGTTGAAGTTTGATCAGATTTGGGTGGGATGCGATTGAATCAAATCTGCTTGTCCATGAAGTTTTGTTGGAGTTGGATCAGATTTGAGATGTTTTTTGGCCAATTTTGAGGTCTTCAACAGTGTTTTTGCCTCTGTTTACTCGGTTTTTTATTTTTTGGCTGTTGTTTGAGCTATTTGGCTACTAGTTTGCTGTTTTCTGGCCAGTCCGGCAGAGTGTCTTTTGCCCCTGTTCAGTTCAAGCAGTGAGGTTTTTGACCCTTTATGAGTTATAGTTGGGTGCTTCTGGAGTAGTTTTGGACTAGTCCAGTTTCAGGGGTACTGTTCCAGACTTATTGGCCACTGTTTGAGGCCTTTCTACTTGCCTCTGTTATTTCAGGGTTGCTGTCCAATCCTTTTTTTTGCTCGAGATTGCCTGATAGAGACTATTTTGCCATCTCTGTGTCTGGTTATTGCTTTGGTGATTGTACGAACATTTTTTGGTTGTGGTTCAATTCTTTTGGATTTTTAGGACTTTCTTGTTTCCTGTCCAGAGCCACTGTTAAGGCCTTTTTTTTACGTGTTGAGGCATATTACTTGAGCTGTATTTGCTTACTAGTTTTGCATATTTGTTGGGACTATTTGAAGGGTTGGCCATTTTGTTGGTTTTGTGACTTACCGTTGTGATTGTTTGACCCTATTGTGAGGACATGTAGAAAGGGAGTGTAACCTCTAGTAATTTCACTCACAATGAGATGCAGATTCTTAGGCGGTTGATGGGTCAACTTGAGGTTTCCTCTACCACGGTTCCTAATTCTACCTCTTCTTCCAACTTTGCTCATATTGATATATATGGTAGTGTGTTTATTGCGTCATCCATATATACGCCTTGGATAATAGATTCTGGAGCCACAGATCACATGACAGGTTCTTCTAGTCTTTTCTCTTCATATTTTACTTGTTCTGGTTGGGATAAAGTTAGAGTGACAGATGGATCTTTTTCATCTATTTTTAGGAAAGGCTCAATTAATTGTTCACCCTCTTTATCTCTATCATCTGTTATTCATTTTCCCAATTTTTCCACGAACTTATTGACTATTAGTAGTATTACCAAATCCTTAAATTGTTTAGGGACCTTTTTTCCTGCTCGTTGTATCTTTCAGGAACTGAAATTAGAGAAAACATTTGGCAGTGGTAGAGCACATGGTGGTTTGTACCTCTTGGATGTTGAAGCTTTCTCTCAGTCTATCTGTCAAGCTCTCTAGGCAAATGGTGTTTCAACCCTTAGCATCAGTGGTATAGACGTTTGGGGCATCTATCATTTGACATTTTAGAGCATTTTTTTTCCTAATTTAGTGAAATAGTGTAGTATACAATCTTTTGTTTGTGACGCTTATGAATTTGTCAAGTATAAACGTTCATCTTATCCTAGTACTAACCATAGAAGTACTGCACTTTTTTTCATTATTTGTTTAGATGTGCGAGGACCTTGTGTCGTATTTATTTCTAGTTACATTGGTTTGTTACCTTTACGATTGTTATTCTCGTCTTACTTGGGTTTACCTACTACGCAGTAAAAGTGAAATTTTCTCTTGCTTTAGATCTTTTCATAAAATGGTGAGTACTCAGTTTGATGCTTAAGTCAAAATTTTTCGAAGTGATAATAGAACTGTGTATATTGATGGGGAATTTTGTTCTTATCTCAATAAAAATGGTATCATGTATCACTTGAGATAGACGTGAATGAAAGGGATACAAATTAAGTGTAGAGCACCCCATATATATAGCTAATAAAAGTCACAATAAGGATAAAAAGGAAAAAACTCTAATAAACCCTAATAACCTAGGTTGCTATAACTCCAACACTCCCCCTTAAGTTAGGTGCAAAAATATCAATTAAGCCAAGCATGACAACGGAGTCTCAAAGAATGGATAGAGTGACAGGTTTGGTGAAAACATTTGCAACCTGATAACTGGTCCCCACAAACGGTGGAGTGATAATACGACTGTTAACCTTCTCTCGAAGAAAGTGAACATCAATCTCTATATGTTTTGTTCTCTCGTATAATACAGAGTCAGAAGTGAGCTGAATAGCAGATCGATTATCACAATATAATATATAGATGAAGAAGTCATTGAAAATCCCAACTCGCCAAGAATCAATCATAGCTAGATAATCTCACATGTGCCAAGTACCAGTGCTTGATACTCTGCCTCTGCTGACGAGCGAGAGACAACTGACCGTTTTTTGCTATTCCAAGAAATAAGGTGAGTCCCTCGAAAAGCACAGAAGTTCGTAGTAGATCGGCCGTCACACGCTCCCCAATAATCTGAATCTGAAAAACAGACTAGAGAACCAATCTAAGATCATGATGCATAGAACAACCCAAGTCCAAGACAAGACTTGAGGTACCGAAGAATATGATAAACTGCATCAAGATGAGGCCGATATGGTCTGTGCATGAACTGACTAATTCGGTTGACAGCGAATGAAATGTCTGGCTTAGTGTTGGCTAGGTAGATAAGTCTACCTATCAATCTCTGATAGACAGTTAGATTTCTCAATTCCTCAACTTCAGTAGTAAGCTTCAGTGAAATCATGGGTGATGATGCCAGTTTACACTCCAGTATTTCATTGTCTGAGCGAAGATCCAGAACATATTTTCTCGGAGGAAGAACAATACCCCTATTGTTACGGGCAACCTCAATCCCAAGAAAGTATCGTATAAATCCAAGGTCCTTCACATCGAAGACCTTCCCAAGATCTACCTTGACCTGCGCAGTCCCAGAAACATCATCTCCAGTAATAATAATATCATCAACATATACCAAAATGATGACACATTGTCTAGAAGTATTCCGTCGAATGAAGTAGGTATAATCAGAATGATATCTGGTGAACCCTAAACGTATAACTACACCACTAAAGCGAGAAAACTAGGCTCGTGGTGATTATTTTTGTCCATAAAGAGACTTACGTAGTCGACATACCTTTCCAGTATACTCTCCCTTACCACGAAAGCCAGTGGTGCATCCATATAAATAAGCTCGTCCAGATCACCATAAAGAAATTTATTTTTCATATTCAACTGATGAAGAAGTCAAGAGTACTCCACAACCAGAGAAATAATCACGACCTGGTATCTGAGTAAAGCCCTTCGCCACAAGCCTAGTCTTGTGACGATTAATAGTACCATCTGCAAA